ACCATTTAAAAAGAATACATGAAATAAAAATTGATAATATAAAAAAAATACAAACCAAGCTTAATTTTCCTAGAATCAATCCTTGGCCTAAAGAAGAAAAATCAATTCAGGACCAAGCTTTAACAGAGTGGATTATAACTGATTTACAATTATTTTTTACTATTACTAATACTCAGTTTATTAATTTAATAAGTACTTTGGATCCAAGATATCAACTTCCTAGAAGAATGCTAGTAAAAGATATGATTATAGATCAGTTTAATATAATGAAAAAAATATTAAATTGGATATTGATAAAATTCCAGGAAAAATATCACTAACATCTGATATGTGAATATCAACGCTTATCAACAACTCTTTTCTTAGTTTTACAATTTATTATATCAATAAAGAATGGCAAATGCAATATTTTCTCTTAGATATTATCCCATTTGATAATCATAATACTGCTATTAATATTACCAATGCTATTATATCTGTTTTAAACGAATTTGAAATACAAGAGAAGGTTTTAACATTAATAATAGATAATGCAACAATAATACTAGCAATTGATAATTTGATTGCTGAAAATTTAGAAGGATTTGGTCATTATCATTATACAGCATACTGTAACCCAAGTGATCTTCAGAAAATTGAAAGTATGACGCAGTAAAGTGATCTACAAAATAATCATCATGTGAATTGACCTGCAAGAATCAATGACACAATAGTCGGCAAAAGGTGATCTGCAAAATTAACCAAATCGGTTAATAAAGAAATGAAGTAATAGATCATTAGCCTTTGATGACATGCGTAACCTTCTAAACTAAAACTCCAAATAGGAACTTCAAGGAGAAACTAGTCAAAAGGCTAAGTATAAGGATGTAGCAATAGTTTAAGAATAATATAATTATATTCTCTACATCTCTTCACATATATATATATCATAGTTAAAGGACTATTGCATAGCGATTAGGTAGTCATTACTCAATTATTACAACAATATTACATCGAGAAAAATGAGGGAATCATTACATAGTTTTTATGCAATAAATAGCAATTTAGTGTAGAAATTTTATTATAAATAAGCTGAGTTTTTCATCATGTATTGTTAGAAATTTAGAAAGAAGTTTAAAGAGAAAAGCTTAGGAAATTTGAAAGATAATTTATAAGTTAATAAAAGTCTTTGCTAAATTGTCTCAGCAAATCAATCACCTGTAACAAATATATTTTGTGTCAACTGTGTTTAATATTATTGATTTATTTGTGTCAATAAATCTCTTAAGTGTTAAATATTTGCTTTGTGTCAACCATTATATTTAGAGTCTCAATGAGTTAAAGTATTTAAATTGTGAAATACTTTAAGCTGAGCATTACTAACCTGATTATAATAAGTTTATTATAATATTAGTAAAGTAATTTTTTTAACAACTTGTGAAATTATGAGTCACCATAGTGAATTAGAAGTCTTCATACTCGTTAATTTAGAAACTTAATTGTAAAAGTACACTGACGTTAAGCAAAGTTCAAGCTAATTAAAGTCTCTCTTAATTCATTATAAAGATTGAGCTAAATCTTGCTATTACTCAATTGATTACGTGTTTTAGTCCACCTAATCAACAGTTGGATAACAATATATAACTCTGTTTAATCATTTATTCTTATAAATTAACTTATATAATAACAGTTATAATATACAGTTGAACTTCACTATAATAAATCTCTATTTTTGAAGGTCAAAATTCATTATATGAGAAAATTCAGTAACATCTATATCGAATTTTAACAATTTATTCGTTAAATAGTAATACTAAATATTATATCCAAATTCAGTATATAATAAGTTTGGAATAATATAAAACAAATAAATTTCAATAAGTAATAACTAATAAATTAAAGTTATAAAAGTATACTTATATAGATTAACTTATAATTATTGATCCTAAATATCACATAGAAGTAGCAAGTTTCGTTTAGGTTTTTTTTAACAAAATTTGAAAAAAAAATTTATAAAAAAAACCCGAATGAAAAGGATAAGCGAAGATAATGAAAAAGATAAAAAAAGAGAGACTAGTTAAAATTATAAAATATAAAAAAAAAATAAAGATAATTGAAAAAAGGAGTAACAATAGTAGGAAAAGAAAGTAAGAAGCAGATTATTGAGGGATATTTTAGATTTTGGATTGAAAAGAGTTATTAGAAAGAGGAGTTGATGATTCTAAAAAAATATAAATTTAAATTTATGTTAAAATAATATTGAAATTAAACTAAATAAATTTCTTAACTTGATTTCTGGTAGCTAATCTTGTACACCTCCTTTCTTGAACTCAAGATGCTAAATAACATAAATATTTAATTTTAATAATGATTTTCTTCAATTAAATATTAATTAAAAAGTTTTATTATTTCAATCTGGTCTCTTTCAAAATGGGATTTTAAATTATTTCCCAAAAACTTCTCTAATATGCGTTCACTTTTCTTTTGCGTCTCTATCAGCATATAATTCAAACAATTAAAGCATTAAAATTATTAAATTATTATTGTAAAATATAATTAATATAAATATTTTTATTTTTTGTTTACTAGTAATTTATTTACTTTACAATCCCTGACCATTCCTTTAAATTTTTCCCTTGCCTATAATCTATTGAATGCTATTGTAAACCTTTCTTAAATCTGCATTGCAATTTTATTTCAAAAAGGTAACTTCAAACTTCCAAATCTTTTCCAGTAATTATTATTCCTTTCCTTTTTTAAATTGATCAAATATTGCATTTCTTTATCTGACTATTCAATTGTAGTAGGTATTTTTGAAATTTGTTATTTAAAAAAGATTTAAAAATTGTTAATATAAATATTGAATAATTAAAGAAATAAAAATGTGATAAAACTTTTTTTATATAAAATTTTATCAAAATATGTCAGTATTTAATTAGTTCAATGAGTTAGCAAAGTATATAATTTTTATGCAATTATCAAAGAAATGATCTAATTTTTAGCAATTTCAAAATTTACAGTTTTTGCAATTAAAATTTTTGCAATTTTAAAATTTGCATAGTTTTTATAGTTTTGCAATTGCAATTTTAAATTTGAATTACAGAAATTAAATAAATTGAATCAATAAATTAATCACTACTGATTCAACACTGATTAATTTTAGGTTTGACACTAAGTAATCTGTGATTCAACACTAATTAATCCCTATAGAAATTTATTAAATAATTATAATTTGATTTACAATATGATCGAAACTGCAGCTAAAAATTTAGCTGAACTAATTATTCAGTTTGAAACCAGTTTACTTAATATTTTATTATATAATTTCAACATAACTTGCAAAAAAAAAGGTTGTAAAATTCTTTTTTATTACAATTATTAAATATATTTTATTCTTTATAGTTACATCATTTCTCAAATATGAATCTAAGGTAATCTACATAAATGATTATTTTGTTAAGTATTACTAATATTTCATAATTACTAATATTAGAAATTTCTGGTTCTTTATTATTTAGTTTTACTTCTGGTTTTTTCATTAATTCTATAATTTTTTCATCTATTATCATTTAATGAGTTATTTCTTCTTTTTACATTGCAAATATTCTTCAGTGAAAATTGGATTTTTGTATATATTAGGAGTTAATCAAATAATAAATTCTTGTATTTTATTAATTTCATCAAAATCTGTAAAATTGACAAAATTATCAACATCAATTCTTTCATTAGTATTAGTATTTAGTAGAAAATATCTATTTTTCTCTAACAATTTATAATTACTTCTGGTTGAATCAAATTCCATACTTTTGCTATATATTTAATTGTCTTTTTTATTATAATTTCAGTTATATATTGACTTGTTTCTTGATTATTATCAAATACTTTAATACGATTTTATAAAAATAACTTTTGATAATGTATTTTAAACTTCTAATAATTTCAGTATCACAAGATTGGAGATATGCAGTTATATTAGGAGGTAATTTATAAAGACAAATATTAGAGAATGTGGTATTCCCATATAAGATATAAATAGATATACCATCATAAAGTAAGATTATAATGATTCTAAAGTTTTAGATATGCATCAAAAAGTTTTAACCAATTATTTCAGATAACTAACTTGCATATAAGCTGTTTATTCTAATAATAATATACAAGTAGTAATGATTTTGAAATATGTTTTAAGGTATATAGATTTTGACTTTTTCCAATAAAAACTGCCTTGACTTTTTCAGTTCCTGAAGCATTATAACATAAATTTTAAATTTATATAATTATTTATATTAATTTATATCATTAATTAACATTAATTTTTTACCTGATCCAGTAGATAAAGTCTGATTTGACTTTATTTTCCAATAAAGTCCAGTTTCATCCATATTAAATATATCATTAGATAAATAATCTTTAAGAATATTTTGAAGATTTTTACGCATATCATCTAAATCTTTTAAAGAAGCACTTGTAGCCTCTCTATGTCTCAAGTAATGTTCAATATTATGCCATTTTTGAAACCTATTAACTATTCATTTGATACTTTAAAGTCTTGTACTTTAAATAATATTGCAAAATTTCTTGCTTTTTGTAATAATAATTCACAACTAATAGTAATATTATTATCTACAGCTTTTTCAATCCAATAACTTAACGTTTCTTCAATTTGTGAAAAATTTAGTTTAATGTGTCTTTTAACCGAAGCTTCATAAGATTCTGATTTTATAGCTAACCATTTTTCACTTTCTTTTAAAATATCACATATCATTCCTTCTGAAACATTAAATTCTAAGGAAAGGTCTTTATTTTTAGGCTTTGGTTTTTACAACTTTTTTAAACAAATTTTTATTTTTCCTGACCTCAGGTTATGAAAAAACGATCACTAGTGATCACCAAACTACTATCCATTATTAACCAGGTTGTCGCATTATAATGTTCGACATTGTTGTTAGTCCTAAACGAACGAAGGGTTTCAAGTGGACTGTGAACATTGAACAGATGGCCTCAAAGAGCATATATATAAAATGGAGAAACTACCGTCACTTGAAAATGATGGAGAGGTGATAAATATAGTAAATGAAAGCAGAAAATACTCTCCTCTAAATGATCAAGACCTTTGTGAAATGCTCCAGCTGTTTATATCAAATAAAAATCTCAAGTTTACCGTATTCATTGAAACTCTCTCGAAAGCTTTTTCAGATTGGACTTTCAGTTCAGTTTGTCAGCTTTACAGTCTTAATGATGAAATAGAGGATCTGACAATGATGATGTTCCCAAATTTTTCGTGCGGTAACGTTAAGCCATCTCAGGAATTGCTAGAAGGACTTATGGCAGAATTAAAATCCCGCCTCGACAGCACTCCCATCAGTTTACTTTCAGTCGAAGCCACAAAATCAGAATACATCTATTCTTACCTGCTTGCTGAAGCGAATAATTTCAAAGGAAAGTTTGAGATCTGCCCTCAAAAGTTATTTCTAGACCAAATAGATATGGACCTTTCGATTTCGCAATTGACTTGTGTCAGACAGCAAAAACAGTTTGGGTTGCAGAGGTAAAAAAAGATGATTTTGTGAAAGGTGTTGCTCAATGCACAGTTCAGCTCGAATCATCCTTAACATATCATAAGCGTAAAGCCGATGAAATGGAAGAACGAACATTTGGAAGAGTTTTTGGAATAGTTACTGATGCTGAAAAATTTTATTTCATGGAATGTTCGATGGATGATCAAGATAGGCCAAGCTTCAAACTATCAAAACCAGTGACCGTTGTGTACGAAGATAATAATTTGCAGAAAAAGGTGGAAAAGGCCTTTGAACATGTTGTATGGTTGTTGGAGGAGGCACAGAAGCCTGACTCAGCAAGAAGAGGGAAATAAAAAGAGTAAGGTCAGGTGAGTTACCAAAGGTAACTGATCTTGAGGGGAAAACGAATTAGAATTTAGAAATAGACATTTTGTCATATATCACGGGCTACGTCCTGAACATTTGTATTTATTTTTCGCATATATTAATAAAAATTTTTTTTGGCTTTTTCCGAATCTGCGCAGTCCAGAAATCTAATACCTACTTTTTTCTTTGCATTTTTCTATGATGACCCTCACGCAAATTTTCTAGCAGAACGGACTTTGTCATGTATTACAGGCAAAATTTATTTCTGTATTAACAAAAGTTTTCTTGATTTTCTTGATAAAAAGCACATGAATTTTTTTTCATGTGGTCGCATGATTTTTATTTTTCTTAGAAAATGGCTGTATAATTACAAAAAAAGCATTGAATAAAGCTATAAAATAAAAAATGTCAAGATACATCTCATATATATAAAAACTCATTATATACAATAATGTTCAGCAAAAAAAAATCTGAGACAATGTAAAAAAATAAAGGATGTTATAATAATAATAACCAACCAGAGTAAATTTAAAGAATGATTCTAAAACCACGAAGATCATACCAATCAGAAAGATCAATGGCAAAACGTGTACTTTTTATAGTGAAACGTCCAGATCACTTTTGCTTTTCCGCAAACCTTTTTCCTCTGCCAACCTTTTTTCCCTATTTTTCTCCGCCAACTTTTTCTTTTCCAACTTTTTATTTTCAAACTCTTCCATTTCACGACGTTTAAGTTCCACTTTAGATACCAGCTCACCAGTGTCTTTCATAACGACACATATATCTTATCTGGGTGGTAAAGATAGTTCGCAAGACCTTCTAATCTATTGATTCCTAAGATACACATCTCACTTTCTGATTCACTCCACATAAACATAATACTATGATCATCTAAAAACAGAAGAACAGATCTGGAATGATCTACAAGCAGTGGGTGAATAGGTGTGATACCATATTCTTTACCAAAGAATTCCCTATTCTCTTAGTCAATTAACCGTTTATCTACAGGTTCATAGAATTCACAAAACTCACAATCATCCTTTAACCTGTCAACCAATTCTGAATAGCTTTGCATGGATCCTTTGTTATTCTATCGTATATTGTTATTGTTCGAGACTTAATTTGGAGATCTGATTTCTATTGGCATAAACATGTCCAAGCATTCATTTCTGAGCAGTTTCCAAACTCCCACTTCTCCAGTTCTGAAATCACATTCCCATACTGGTCCTGAGAAAGAAGGTATCTGTCGTTCTCTGCTAACTTCTGCACACTTCTCTCTTGTATTTCCAGTTGGTTGAAGCTGATACATCAAATGCAATGTTGATGATATTTTTCTGGTTTGCGGTTTTCCAGGAAGCGTTGACTGTATATGGTTGTTTGATGCGATCAGATTCTATCATTGATATCCATCGACAGATTTGGTCTTGGTGCTGAAAAATCAACTCCACTTGTCTTAGATAATTTTCGCGATTTTTCTTTGTTCCTTTCTTCTTTGAAAAGCTTAGATTGATCTCGTACAAGTAGCAGAGAGCATCTGATGGGGTTGCTACCATGATCAAGGCTCCATTCGCCCTCAATATTATTGGTCTTGAACGTCTCTCAAGATTGTTGAAAATTTTGTTATTGTCCTTGTACGAAAGAAGAATTTTATTGTATACTGTTTGTCCCCTTCTGCTCCTTCTCGCCATTTCCCCAAATCTAGGGTGAGAACTACTTAAAATTTTTTTCTTTTTCCTGTTTCTTATAAACAGCTAAAAATTACCTTGTCTAGTGTCCATTCTGTTCTTAATGGAGGAGTCCATTGGTTTGACATGAAGATTTAAGTTATCGAAAATAGAGCTAGTAGAGTCAAAAACGTTATTCATTTTTTATCCATTGTTACGTATTAATAAATATCAATAATATAATGAGGTGGAAACTGGAAAGAATATGATGAAGTGGAAAGGAAAAGATGTAATAAATTTTATTGTGCTATACTGTATCCTACAATCGACCGTATTTGACTTAATCAGTGTGGCAGAAATAAATTAATAAAGCGCAATAACGCTCTGTGATGTAAAGATTTTCTTACTCTGGTATTTCTCTGAGCATTATCTCGCATTCTCGCTAGCAGTTTGAAAGAAGTGTTGATGAAAAATTATTGAAGTCTGGGCGAGACACTTCGCAATTAAGGTAAATGTAGCATATTTTTTTCGGTTGTGGTTGTGCAATTGCAGAGCTAATACCTATTTTTTTGTTCAGAACTTTTGAGGACCTTATTAGGTGGAGAGCATAAACTTTTGGTGAGTTTACTAAGGTCAATACTATTAATTTATTTCTGACTCTGCATGCTTTATATATAATTGACAACCATTTTATTCTATCCAGAATATCAATGTTGGGACAAATGAAATTGGATTAGAGTTAATGTTGGGATATTGTGTTAGTACAGATATTTTAGATAGACATTAGTATAAGACCGCTATTTTACTTTGTAAACAAGTCTATGTATCATCGAATTATGTAATTTATTTTCTGTATCAATAAAGAATTCAAGCTGAAAATGTTATACATTGTATCAAATATATTTTTTATGGGATATGGAGATGTATGGTGAATAAAAAAAGTGAGACCTAAAGTCCCTCTTGGATAAATGCATTTTAAATAAATTGTGTTCTATATGAAAGGTATTATTGAATATGCAATCTGAACTTGATTCATTGAAACAACGTATCGTCGAGCTTCTGATCGAAAATGCTGAGGTTAAAGCTGAAAATGCTAAATTAAGGCAGGCTATGTAAGAGAATAAGGCCAGATTCGTAAAATTAGAGCAGAACGATAAAGAAAAGGCTGAGCTCATTGCAGAACTAAATTGTGATGTTGGGAAAATCAAGCAGGAGCAATTTGCTATTCATATTTTGGTACAACTGTGGTGAAATTTTACACTCGTTCAGAATTACAGGTGACTTTCCAATCATCTATTTCACCGCCTATTGAAGGTAAATCTGAGTATAGCTCTGATGTAACTCAACCTACTCATGCAGGGTTTAAATTATTGGAGGATAGACAGACCGATGAATTCCTGATTTTAGCAAGTAAGAAAGAAGTTAGTGATATGATGAGACAACGCAATAGAGAGAAAAAACTTTTGCGTGGATCAACACATTTAAGCCAAGATCAGGATGAGCCCTCAATTTCCCAGAATAATTCCTCTATATTAGAAGATTCTGCGAAAACTGAAACTAATACAAGTAGTTCACAATCATCAATCAAATTGAGTGATTGCGGAGTAGGAGAAACTCAAGTACTACCCAAGGATACAAAAGTTTCTTATGATTATATAGTAGCCCAAGATTTTATACAAGAAGTGTCTTCAAAGTTTATAGATGAAGATGATATCCAAATTATTGATGGAAATCAAGAGCTTACAACTGATATGACAATAGAAGTTGAGCTTGCTCATCTATTTCTAGAAATAAGTATTGAAGGGAAGAATACTACACATACGAAGCAAAAAGAGATTTCATATTGCTATTCATATGAGAAAAAGTTCAAAAAAGGTGTTCAAGAAATTATTGCCAAAAATAATGTTTTAGACCAGACGGCAAGAAAACAATTATTCCAGAATATAATAAAGCATCTGTCTGAAATAACATTAGAACTTTACGTAAAAGAACCCAAAGAGCCATAAAGATTTACAAACTGTTTGAAAAGATAGGAGTAGATAGAATTGCAGATTCTATTTCAAAGTTTACTAAGCCTCAAGTTTAAATTATTCTGGATTATTTCAGCAGATCTGGCTATGCTGTACAGAGCTAAAAAAGCCTAACTCATATTCTGGATGCAAAAATGTAAAAAAAGTGAGACCTAAAGTCCCACTTGAGAAAAGCCAAAGGTATATTCTAAAAAAATTACCAGATGTTAGGATAAACATACCACCCACTTCTCAAACTTCAAAAACCAATCAGACCAATGCATCGTAGATACAAGAGAAATGCTTGAATTCAGTTGAAGTAAGTACATCGGCAAATATATCTTCTTCCAGTCAATCTAATCCAACTTATGACTGCACCTATTTTCAGAACAAGACATTGGATTAATATCCTAACTTATATAAAGAATTTAGTAGTGAAAATTTCGATTATTATGGAATTAATGATGAGACATTATGCCCATTATGCAAGTTAGGTGATGAAGAAGGTATAGAAGGTAGATATACATCCGGATCTTACTTTATTAAATGTGAATAGTGTGAAGTTGAGATAACTGCATAGTCTGACCAGAGGCACTTCGCATTATCCTATATTTGCTCACATATCATTATGTAATATTTTTTTACAGATCAACTACTATCTAATTAAATTTAAATTAATTCATATAAAAAGCAACATGACCAGATTCAATAAAATATTAACTCTCAAATATTGGACTGCATGCCAAATTAAGTGGGTTATTAAGCGTTTTGACGAATAAGATTCGTATCAAATTATACAAAAGATATAAAAAAGAAACTGAATGTGAACTATGGCAATTATCAGAAGCTGTGATAAGTGTATCAGCAAAACCTCAAGCTTCTGATTTCAAACCTATCACTTATAAAGCCAAACCCTATCCAGAATTAATTATTGAAACTGTTTTAGAGCATTTCACATATCTGAAATTCAGAAATAGTTTTAGGGGGATTGATAATTATAATTTTGCATTAGCTCAGCTATAGAACTCATCATACCTATTTGTGATGAAAAACTTGGGAATTATGGATTACATGATGAATGGTATAGAAATGGAACAGAATATTATCTTATCTGCAACAGTTCAAGCAATAAACTCAAGTTCGTGATTGTGGCTTAGACCGGTCATGTGAAATCAATCATCTGAAAAATTGCATAGTATGAGATATAAGTTTATTTTTTTAGTTGAATCGAAATCAGCAAATTAATAGACATTAGGGTTGCCATATTTGTTTCATGTTTTGTGAGGATCATAGCATCTGGAAGTGACGGTTTCA